GGAAAGAGTAGATATAACTTAATTTGGTACCTAACTGTGCTGAAGTTTTAGACAACCACCAAAAGATCATAATCAGATTCACACTGTACACTGTGAGAAATGTAGTTCCTAAAGCTACAGTAGCTGCATTCAAATATGACCATAAAAAGAAGCAAACTGTAAAATAGTTCCATTTCAGACTTGGGCTAATGTCCAGGCAAGATTTTAAATCTCAAAACAAGATCTTAAAAAGCATTACTGAGACCAAAAGTACTGAATACAGCCTCAGGCTGCACTTTTTAAAAGGATAAGAAGAAAGTTCAGACTGGTTTTTTAGAAGAGAGCTACAAGAATGACTGAAGGACTGCAGAAAATGCCTTCAAGTGGGAGTCTGAGTTCAAACCATTTAGCTGATGAAAACAGAAAACTAGGAGGCATCTGTAGTTCACATGTACCTTCAGAGAAGTACCAAAAGCTCTCTCTAGTACACAACATAACAAAAACAGTGCAAAATGATGACAAGACTATCTTAATTACGAACTTAGATGAATAAAGGGAGATAATTAGGCACTAAGCTCCACACCCAAGGAACATGTAATCCACTTATTTTTATGTTTTCCCTTTCTAGAAGATTGCCTCAGCCAAACATCTTCAGGCTTTAGTCCAGAGAGAGTATTTAGGCTCAATTTAAGAATAACTACATGCAAGTTACTGGCTTATGATTCATATGCAGGTCTGATCAGATGATCCCAGAGGCCTCTAGCCTAAGTTCTATAAAATCTTCAGAAATAACAATATTTAAATTATTAAGCACAAAACCTCAGTAAATCCCAGTGGCACATACATAAACTTCTAAAACTGCATCAAATGCTGCTGCAATTTTTCAGAAAGAGCTATATTTTCAGACTTGTGGTCGGAATACATTATGTAAGATTAAAAAAAAAGAGAATAAACCTTTCATGGCAAAATTTTAACACGAAGAAATGTTTCTTCTACTCAAGAGTCTATTGAGATAGAAAGAGGCATGACAAGAAGATGAAGGATGGGTGCTGTAGCAGCTAATTCCTAAGCAACGTGCATCAGAGTTGCTGCCTGTGACACAAACAGGAAAAACCAACAGTCTTTGCTTTTATAACAGTGTACGTGGGCTGCAGC